TGTGTGTGTGTGTGTGTGTGTGTGTGTGTGTGTGTGTGTGTGTGTGTGTGTGTGTGTGTGTGTACATTACGCAACAAAATCTGAATTTCACGTTGTTTTTTCACAATAGATTGTTGTGTAATGGTCTTAACACACAGATGCATGCATAAACATGCTTATTTATCCCCAGCATTGTTCCATCTACTTACTGCCAGACCCTCCTGTCTCTGGACAGCTAGACAAAAAGTGATTTCTGGTATTTGCCAAAAAATGATTGTAGGTTTTTAATTAGTTGTAAATTACTTGTTGGCCTATTTTCTGTGAAACATATGTCAAACAAATCTCTTATGAGTGATCTCAGTTAACAGCCATTTTAAGCCAGAAAGAACATTTTGTCACCAGGTAGAAGCTACAGTCAGTTTTTGGTAAACCAACTTTAACACTCATAAATAAAATTGTGTAAAATTCTCATTGATATTAAAAATGTGATTTTCAAGAGAGATCAGGCCAAGAGGGCAGCAGAAACTGCAACAAATATAACAGTTATGAAGATATTTTAAGTTGCCAAAAAAAGACTGGACTGATTATAAGGTAGAACACAGTATGTACAATAACGCAGTCATAAAGATAATTGTAAAACAGATCATTTCTTTACTTTATATATAACCCCTTTTGTAAATTCTGTTGACTGCAGACTATTTATGAATATAAGCAAAGATATTCGGTGTTAAACACGTGTGTATACACACACACACACACACACACACAGAATTACTACAAATCACTTTTTGGCACAACACCAGCTAACAGCCGAGTTTAGCTAAGTATACTAGCTAAGCTGGGTTTGAGTTTCCTAAAAATCACACTTTACCTCTGATAAACAGTTTGATTACATTCTCGCATCCTGAGACTTTGTTCGCTCATGTGTCCATGTCCAAAAGTGTTACATTCACTTCAAAGAAAGTTTCACTAATAACAGCTAACAGAGACTAACAGTAACTAACAGCAGCAAAACCAGCAACGCTTCCACATATCTTTACCAACTCACCTCACTCACCACTCTATTTTTTCTAAGTCTAATAAAATGTCCTAAAAGACTGTATTATTAGTTCATTGGAAGTCTTTTGTATTTATTAACACTTGTATTACAGCTGATAAAATCACATTGTGTTTATACCTGAAATTTAGTTTGCAGTGCAATGTAGCAACAAATTGCTGACAGTTTTCTTCTGTATCAGATTTTGGCATCTCCATCCCTGTTGGCCATGTGGACTTCTTTCTGAATGGAGGGAAGGACCAGATTGGATGTGCACGCTCCAGGTTTGACTCAAGTAAGTTCAATACCCACTAAAACAAAAACAAAAAGAGAGGGGGGAACTAGAAGGAAAGGATCTCTTTTTTTGTTGTTTTCACATTGTTGCTTTCGCCCTTGTTTTTTGTTATAAATGAAATTCCAGTTACAGATGAGTAGATTTTGAGCAGAACCAGTTTTTCGTCTGGACATTTTTTCCCATTACTTTAATGAGAGTCTCTGGACATCTGTCTCCCTTAGAAGTTCAATATTTTGTCAGTTTTCTTGTATTTTTTAGTGTACAGTTATGTGATATGTGACCACATGAGGGCGCTGGACGTCTACATGAGCGCGCTGAATGGCTCGTGCCCGTTAATGGGGATCCCGTGCTCCAACTATGAGGACTTCCTGAAGGGACGCTGTATGGACTGCGACATCTTCAGAGGGAAATGTCCAGTAATAGGTAATAACACGTGGGTGACCACCTGCAGCACACGGACTGCTGCTGCTCCCTTTTATCTGCTGTTAGTTTCTAACTATCCTGTGTCTTACTGTGAAAAGCTGTGAGTGCATATTTTGGGAGTGTCATTTGTCTCTACAATAAAAACGTTTCTCAGCTCGAGATTAATATGACACTGAGTTATAAGTTATATTAATAGTCCTGCAGCCTATAGTGCTGCCTCATTATTTTTACAAGACTTGCTGCTGTCAGTGGTTCTTCCATTCTACTGCAAAACACTTGTTCCAACAATACAGTCTATTAACTATAAAGTAAATCTTAAGTATTTATAAAGTTGTTATGACATTTCCCTTAAAGTAAACTGGATAGGTTCTTTTTTGCTTCCACCTCCAGTGGAGCCGACACTGTCACGTCGGCTTTTGACAGCTTCTTATTGTTTCAGCTTAATATACTTCTACATACTCATACAGACATAGTTAATGCACGTGAAATTACTTTTGACTCATTCCTTTTAATTATGTGTGTTCCAGGTTTATCAGAAAACAGTGGGATATCTATATCTCCCATTCCCAAAGAGCAGACGCTATTCCTCCTCACGACTTCTTCACAGCCATATTGTGGTGAGTGTTGCAGTGTATTTGTGAGACGGCAGAATTTTTCATTTTTTCTTAAAAAGAAATGTTATCTTCTTCATTTCATTTCATTTTCATTTCATTTTTATTTATTTCACACTTGGTACAACAGATCAAACAAAACAACCACATCTTCTATCAACAAAACACAACAACCATGTGTGAAAAGGAGCAGGAAGAAGAAAATATTCTTATCAAACCCTGCCCCCTATCTACCATCGAACTTATATCACCGGTGGGCACCAAAAATCAGGAAACAAACTAATATTGACATTTCTCTCCGGTCGAATCCCAAACCAACATCACATCTACAATCAGAATAACCACTCCACATATTAAAATATTAACAAGGAGAAAATAAGAACAAATAAAAATAAAAATAAAATAAAAATAAAGCAACACACTTTAAAGAATCCTCTTTCAATAAATTCAATTTCATTCGCATTCTTCATACTGAGTTATCGTTTTAAACATATAACACTTTTTAAAACATTGTAAATTTATACAATTCTTTAAATTATAATGAAGTGAATTCCACAGTCTTATACCCCTAACCGTTGTGCTCATTAATCTTTGTGTAGTCCTGGCTGACTGATGCTTAAAATAAAATTTCCTTCTATTCTCTTCTCCCCTTGAACACATCAAAAATACTCTTTGTAACTTAAAAGGCAAAATATTATTTTTAGCCTTAAACATAATTAATA